ATTATACATACACAGACACAGACAACACAGACACACACACACAGACACACAGACACACACAGATATTACACAGACACACAGAGACACACAGACACATAGACATTAATAGACAGACACACAGACACACAGACACACAGACACAGACACACAGACACAGACACACAGACACACAGACACACCAGACACACAGACACACAGACACACAGACACACAGACACACACACACAGACACACAGACACACAGACACACAGACACACAGACACACAGACACACAGACACACAGACACAGACACACTGTGACACACAGACACACAGACACACAGACACACAGACACACAGACACACAGACACACAGACACACAGACACACAGACACACAGACACACAGACACACAGACACACAGACACACAGACACACAGACACACAGACACACAGACACACAGACACACAGACACACAGACACACAGACACACAGACACACAGACACACAGACACACAGACACACAGACACACAGACACACAGACACACAGACACACACAGACACACAGACACACACAGACACACACACAGACACACACAGACACACACACACACAGACACACACAGACACACAGACACACAGACACACAGACACACAGACACACAGACACACAGACACACAGACACACAGACACACAGACACATGACACACAGACACACAGACACACAGACACACAGACACACAGACACAGACACACAGACACACACAGATATTATTAGGATATTAATTATTATTATTAGGATATTATTATTATATATTATTAGATATTATAGATATTATTAGATATTATTATATATTATTAGATATATAGATATTATTAGATATTATTAGATATTATTAGATATTATTAGATATTATTAGATATTATTATAGGATATTATTAGATATTATTAGATATTACATGGATATAGATAATAGAAATTAGATATTAGATATATAGAGTTATTAGGATATTATTAGATATTATTAGATATTATTAGATATTATTAGATATTATTAGATATTATTAGGATATTGTGATATTATTAGATATTATTAGATATTATTAGATATTATTAGATATTATTAGATATTATTAGATTGGTTTTTGTTATTATTAGGGATATTATTTGGTTGGTGATTTTATTATTAGGATATTATTAGATATTATTAGATATAGGATATTATTAGATATTATTAGATATTATTAGATATTAGGATATTATTAGATATTAGACATTATATATAGATATTAGATATTATTAGATATTAATAGATATTACAGATATTATAGATAATACATATATTAGATACAATAGGGATATTATTATATTATTGTGATATTAGATAATAATAGATAATAGACATTAGATATTATAGATATTATTAGATATTAGACATAGACATTATTAGGATATTATTAGATATTATTAGATATTATTAGATTATTGATTAGATAATACTACCCATATGTTTTGCTTGTCTTATTTCTATACACATTATTATTAATATTATTAATATACTCCCATATTAATTTATTATTACTCCATACACTTTATTATTAATTTATTACCCATACCTATACCTATTACCCATACCTATTAAATCTATACCATACCTATTACCTCCATACTTTTATTACCCCATAAATTTCCATACTTATTACCCATACACACTTTATACACTATATTACCTATATTACCCATACCCTACACTTCTATTACCCTATTACCCCCTACACTCTACACCTCTACAATTTCTATTACCTCTATTACCTCTATTACCTACAATAATTACACACACCCATACCCATAATACCTAAAATTACCCTCATACCTTCCTATACCTCTATTACTCCCTATTACCCACATACCTATTACCATACATACCTATAATACCTATATATTATCTACACACATTTTATACCTATACATTTCCATATTACTTCCATACATTTATATTACCTATACATTTATATTACTTATTATTACCTATAATATTTATACATTTATACACATTTCCATATTACCTATATTACCTATAATATCTATATTACCTATACAATTTATACACTTCCATATTTTCAGGGCACCTGCCCGCGGCACTGCCGGCTGTCTCGCCCTACGCCAAAATCAAATCTGCTGGTATGGATATCATACTCTATACATTTATATATTTATACTACTCTATACATTTGCACACTTAGCACATTTGTTACTCATATTACCTCCACATACTCCCACACTCCACATACCCACACACCCACATACCTATTATTACTGTACATACCTATTATTACCTACATATTACCTATTATTATTACCTATTATTACCTATTATTACCTATTAGATTATTATATTATTACCTACATACATATTATTAATTTCACACACCTATTATTACCCACACACCCACACACCCACATACCACACACCTACACACCCCCACACCCCCACACACACCCACACCCCCCCAATACCCCCACACCCCCACACCCCACACCCCCCGCACCCCACACCCCCACACTCTTTCACACCCCCCACACCCCGCACCCCGCACCCCCGCACTTCGCACTCCCCGTATTCCCGCACTCCCGCACCCCCACACCTCACACCCCCACACCCCCACACCCCCACACCCCCACACCTCTTACACACCCCCACACACCCCACACCCCCCACACCCCCCCACACCCCCCACACACCTCCCCACACCCCACACCCACACCCACACCCACACCCACACCCACACCTACACCCACACCCACACCACCACCACCACCACCACCACAACCACAACCACAACCACAACCACAACCACAACCACAACCACAACAACCACCCACCACCACCACCACACCACGACCACGACCACGACCACGACCACGACCACGACCACGACCACGACCACGACCACGACCACGACCACGACCACGACCACGACCACCACGACCACGACCACGACCACGACCACGACCACGACCACGACCACGACCACGACCACGACCACGACCACGACCACGACCACGACCACGACCACGACCACAACCACAACAACAACAACAACAACAACAACAACAACAACAACAACAACAACAACACAAGTAATTTCCCTCAAAACGGCACAGGGCAGTTTTTGTTTAACAACTGGGTGGCTGTTTTCACGGTGAAGCAATCCTCCTACCATAAAAGCAAAGACACAACTGTGAGCCCAACATGCATCACTGGATGGTTTCGAAGACGTTCATTTGCGAGGACATCTTCACGAAGGTGTCGGCCATGCCCCGCGATGTCAGAGACCTTCGGCGTTTAAATTCCTGTCGCCCGAGTCGGGCGGAAGAGCTTTTGGACCAGAAGCCAACGAGTTTCGTTTGGGTTTCCTCGCGGGTTCCAAGTGTTCCATCAGGGTTTCACCTTTCACTTCTCGTCATTACTTTTGGGGTCACCCTATTGTCTATTGTGGCAGGTATCCATTTCTTTGAGGGTCCTTCTTGGACCATGCAATGGCACACTAGTGGATGATGAGGTTTTGGATCAACGCCACTAAAACGGTCCAAACCAAATTGCGGTGACTGGCAACGTGTTTGGTGGCGAACGTGTCCAAGGTTTGGGAAAGGGTAACCCTGGTGGTTTGGATTGGTTGGAGATTTGAACCCGTTCTTGTATGGGAAACCACCCCTTAACCTCTTCCAAACCAAAGCACCACTTAGATCTGCCCGAGCCTGAAGCGGCTTAAGCGCCTAGGAGCTGAACCTGATCCTGGCTCTTGCCAGTTCAAGGACGCATGCCAAGCTTTCAAAGGCTGCCAATGTGGCACTAGCTGGTTCCCACGTGTGGACATTGTTCGGAGGTTTCTAGGGCTCCAAACTTCTTTTCAGGTCCCTTTTCAAGTGCCCTTTGAGTCTTTCTGGGGCGGAATCAACCCGTATTTCATGTTTTTGCATGGAGGGAACATGCACTGCCATAGGCACAATGGGATCTTAGAGGATCAGAGAGGGCACTAGAAGTGATTTTGCCGGGACGCTGGCTCCTGTGCTTTGCTTGCGCCAATAGAGGCCACCCAGGCACTCCCAAGCCACCCTTCGACTCGGGAGGACGCTGCTGGGCATTCGCTGCGCTGGCTCGACGTGGGTGCCGCTCGGCGCGCGGGGCTGGATGGGGCGGCGGGCTTTGTTTTTGTGATGGACTGGTGCTTTGCGCACTGGCAAATGGTTTGACCAACCAAAAGTAACCTGGAAACAGTTTCTTTTCCATCTAGCAAATGGCTGGACCAGAAGCCATCTCAATGGGAAACAGTGGGTTTCCCACTGGGAGTTAGCTTGACCAATTCTGTTTTAGGTTTTGCATTGGGATCAATTCTTATTTCAGGCTTTGGCCTTTTGAGAACTGGAGATTCATGCTCACGGCCAAGGTCAAAGCCTGATTGACGACCACGCCCGACTTATCTCGTCATCTCGTCTTTTTTAAGCGGAGATGCCTTCTTCCGAGGGAATGCCCCTGATGCATGAATCTGCGGTAGTAACATTGCAAGCACTGATCAGCAGCTGAAACTATCTGGAACCCATGGACGAAGCCCACTTTTGTTGTAGCCATCCACAGTACAAGCCTGAAGCTCCGGACAGTTTCCTGGAACTTGCTCCGGACAGTTTCCTGGAACTTTGTACCAACTATTTGCGCATTGAGTATTTCCTCTTTTAGCCTCAAAGTCAGCTGTTCAAGCAAAGCGCCGAATCGGCCTCATTTTTCGTGTACTCATGCAACTGCGTATGGAACCCAACAGGGGGGTGTCTCAGGTTCCTCTAAAGCGTGAAAGCGTGCCGAGGTTTCAGCCCAGCCGTTCTGAGGTACGTGGACGGTGCCCCGGTGCCATACGACATCGCTTCAAAGGCCACCTGTGTGGACAAGAAGCTGATGTGCGTGGACAACACCAAGGCAGAGGCGGGCTGCGCAAAACCACACGTATCGTTGGGGTTGGTGGGTGGTTTCGCAGGGCTCTGAATTGGGTATGGTGTTTTGGGCAGGCTTAGGTTCTGGGCATCTAGGTCTTGGTTGCGGTGCCCAACGAAGTGGGAAGTTTAAGGGTTGACTGCATTTTGCCTAGCTGTGCAGCGGCGGGGCCATCCAGGTGTCATAGAATTTGGGACCCTTGCAAGCCATCCATTTGGTGGAGTCCATGATTTCAGGAAGCACGAAGAATATGTATGTATATATTTGTATATTAATATATATATATATATGTATGTATGTGTGTATGTTGTTTCTCCACGAGGTGGCTTCACTCCAGGTGACCAACCCAGAAAGAGGCGAGCAAGGGATTTTGGATTGTGTACATCCCTTGTCGTTTCCGGGGGGTGGGGGCTGGGCAAGTTGATATTGGCTTCGGGTGAACGGCTTGAGTCTGGCGATGGTTCTCTCTACACGGGGACCATCCTTTGAGAGAAACTCAATCCACACACACAGTGATTCCAGCTACCACTGTACTTGACTGCCAGCTGGTTGGAAGTCTAACTTTTTGGGATTATGTGTGTTTTCCAAACAGCCAACAAACAGTTAGACTGTTTTGCGCTGAGGGTAATAGTCATCAAGTGCAATTAAATATTTAAGTTGTTGCCTCTGCTTTTCCTTCGGGGTTTGGGCCGGAGAAACAAAATGGAACCCCAAAAAGCGCAGCCAAAGGCAGGCACCAAAGGACATGCCGCAGGTACAATGCTGAGCAAACCTTTAGTCTTGGGTTGGGATTTGTCTACAAGGATGCAATAATAAGGTGCCTTCCGTTTGCTTGGCCTGGTTTCTTGCTGTTCCCAGTTTCTGTGGGGAACAGATATGAGTGAACAATAGTACCCAGGGTTGCAATTCATGGCATTTGAAGGGAACCCGCATTGGGATTTCCAACGACAAACCCAGAGTTCTGCAACGGCGGTGTTTTCTTCCAATGCTTCTTTGGCAACCTCCCTACCTTCGGCCCCCAGTTTCTTCCACAGGCCTGCAGAAGGTCTGATTAGGGAGGTTAGAGGAAGCGGAGGTTTAGATTCTATGTGTTTTGGTCTCAACACATCCAAGGACAAGTTTGTTCAATCATGCTTGCTGTTTGAAAGGTCGCCTCTGGCCAAAAATGCAGATGCTCCCTTTTGCTTTCAAAAGGAGGTCTCCCTCAACTTGGCGGCTCCCCGCCATACCCTTAGACTTCTAGACTGTTAGAGATTAAACATATTATAACATCTCCCGCTCAAAGTTTGTAGCTTTTGGCAAGGAATCGACGAACCACAATGAATAAAGGGACGGCTTAATCCGGACATCCGTGTCACATCGAACCGCCAGGGCCAGCAAGTCTTCACTTGTGACTCGGCGGAGAAGACGGCGTGCCAGATCCCCCGCATGTACGCCTGCAGGGCCGACGTCAAGTACGAGGAGTGTAAGAACTAGAGAGCTAGCTGGCTCATGTTTTGGCTCAGTTATTGCCTATTGCGTTTTGCGAGAGTGTGTTTTGTTGGAATTAGCAAAGGATCAGAAAGGAATGCCGTTCCTCTATCGAAACAAACGTTCCGTATGTATCATTTTGTCAGCGGCCATTCCTTTGCACATGCGCATAAGCGTCACGCATGTTTGTTTGTCAAACTCATGGTTCACTTCTTGGATATCCCTGAAAAAAACTCGGCTGCTTTGCTGACCATGGTTGTGGAAAGTGGGGTTTGGGGCTACTTTCTGTGCTACCAACAAAGTCCCCCTCAAAGCGATTAACTAGGTCAGGCCGCGCACGGAGGAGTTCACAACCCAGTGGCAGTCACTTCGTATGGCTCACAGAACTGAAGTGTATGTCGTAGTCTTGGAGCCTTCGGCGGGCCAGCAGATACCAAGGAAAGGTGTGTCGGCCGGCCACTCAACCAAAAAACTGCAGGCATCCTCCGAACTTGTGCCCCGTACGTTGTTACCCCACCCCACCCCAGCCCCAAAGTCATCGAGGCGTCGAGCAGGCCGGAACAGCGGGAAAGGCTTTGGAAGGGAATCAAGTAGTCTAAGGTCAATTTGGATGTAGATGTCATCCTCATTGAAGAGATATTTTCGGTGCGGGAGTGGTCTTCCAACCCTTTCCAGTTTCCCGGCAGGCTAGCTTGCTGATGGTTGATTGTATGGCAAATTGTTTGCTTGAGTGTGTGTGCTGGTTGATTGTGCGGTAGTTTGGTAGGAAAAGACTAGGATAAGCAAATGCTCTGCTCCAATTGCATACCCTGCTACATCCATCTAGATCTGTGGCAGGAACCTTTGCATGTTTGCCAAAGTGGTTCTAACCCGAAGTCAAAATGCTGGTTTTAAATAGTCCCATGTTGCATTAGCATCACTTTCCGAAAGAGCCAACAAGATAAATGAAACAACATATTGACAATGGCCTGCTGTGGAGGAGCATAACATAAAGATCATTTCGGAGAAAAAGAAGGGCTGGCGAGAAAAAAGTTGAGTATTAACCAAATGTCGTCATGTCCCGACTAATATCTAAAAAGAGTCTTGGTTGTTCTGAAAGCCGCTTTGCCCAAAATGCGTGGTGTCTTTTGGTGTCCCTCTAGCATTGTAGACTAAACTAACCTTTTTAACATTTTGCCTTCTTCGTTTCCTTCAGTTTCCCCTTTGACCAGGAACATGTTTTTCAGGGGGTCTAAGTTTGGACCAGCTAGCTGAAGCCCAAAAGGCTACCCTCAGAAAACAGATCCCATCATTTTACCATTATCGAAGTCAAGCCCTAAGTTGTAGGTTAACCTAAAGGGAAACACAGACAAAATCATGCCCCCCTTCGGCTTTTCAAGCTCAGATGAGCAATGAGTGTTTTTCAGAATGGATAGTTTCCTGGGCGATATTTAAGGGAAACCAGCCATTTTAGGGACCTGTATTTTGAGAAACCCGCGATCAGATGGGTGCGTCTACGTTTGGGGGTACCCTTTCGGGGTTGGTTTGGGTTGGTCTGAAGGGAGACCATGGGTGTTACTCAAAAGGAGAAAGCTCCTCAGGTTGCTTCCCTTTTGCTTGTCTCCACAAATGCGTCCCTCGGCTTCCTTGGTTCGACAGGACCGCGACACTGCCTGCCCGGGCGGCATGCAGCCTGCCATGCCGGTGAGCGTGCGCGACATTGCTGCCTGGCGGAGAGAAGTACACATTCTTGCTGGTGCGAGAAGTGGGGAATGAGGGAATGAACCTGGAAATCGCCGTAAAGGAAGCCGCAAGGGATGGTTTAAAGGGGTCATTCCCTCATGCCCTGATCACCAGCAAGTATTTCATAGACCTCCAGATTCAGGGTTTAATACGCGATAGTTCCTTATCATACCTGCAGAGGTCCGTGAGTATTGCAAGACCATCCATATCAGACCATCCATATCCAACAATAACATCCTGGAAAGAGTTGTGTTTTTAAAGTACAGTGTGTTCCTCGTTGCTTGCAATTTTATTAGGGCAATGGGATGACTGAACCCAAATGGGGGAATTGTGCCATCTACTTTCCTCCAAACACACGCCCATTGGGTTGTTTCCAACTCAAACCTTTGTTCTTTGTTCTTATCAACTGATTTCTCAAGCAAGCAAGCAAGCAAGCAAGCAAGCAAGGAAGGAAGGAAGGAAGGAAGGAAGGAAGGAAGGAAGGAAGGAAGGCAGCCAGGCAAGCCAGCCAGCCAGCCAGCAGGCAGGCCAGCCAGCAAGCAAGCAAGCTTTGGCCCCTTTATTTAATTTGCTTGAGCTATTTCCGCCGGATTCTCCTCGACGTCCCGTCCGAAGAACTTTGCTCGAGGGAGAGGCGCAGAAGGCCATGGACAGCGACAAGTGCACCACCCAGCCGCTGGGCAGAAAGCGGGAAAAATCCGGCGCCCGGGGGTGTCTCTTGTTGGGCACCCCCAAAATCACAATTTCTCCACTGTACAACCACAGCAGGATTCGAATTTTCAAAGTTTGGGGGTGGTTTTGAAGGACAATTAGGGAAACCCGTGTTTTTCAGATGGTGCGACCGCAGTTGCAGACTAACAGTCTAACCCCCCCCTTAAAAGGCGCCTTCAAAAAGAGACACCTATTTGACAGAGTTGTTCCGAACCTGAAGCCAATGATCCAACCAAAAGGGTAACCCCCCAGCCTCCAAACCACCAATCCAAACCACCAATTGGAGGGAAGCTAGATCGGGGTGTTGAGTTCCTTCTGGGAATGTTCCGTCCTTCCGACACGCAACCGCCCTGGCATCCGGCCAGCATCTATGAGAAGCCTTTCAAGTGCAAGCCAGTGCAACTCAAGCTTCGAGGGTTTCCTGCAAAAGCCCCGAAAGCAGGGAGGCCCCCGTGAAGAAAAAATCCTGTGCCGCTGGAGCCAGTATGAGCGTTCTTGTCGACCTGATATGACGCACACCCAAGTCCAGCTTATCACAAAGTCCGCGGTGAGCATGCTGCGCGTGCTCTGCGTCAAGTGAATAAACATTGCATCGAATCATGACCCTCAGTTGGACCCGATCCTTTGCTGAACCGACTTTGAAGCCTTGCGCTGCCAGACAAGCGAGAATTGGCAGTCTCAATCAGTTGATTGCACAGCAACTTGATGATCACAGAGAATAGGCTTTGTGCCATCTCTGACAAGCTGTCGCATGAACGAACTGGAAGGGATGCGTTGATGAAGCCGGTCAATAAACCACTCATATTTTACAAGCCTTTTTGCGGTATAGTCATCTACACGGAAATCTGTCTCGGTTCTAGCCAGTACTTTCCCTCTCACTGACATAGCCTCAAAGGACACACATTAAGACCAATTTCCTCAAGGGACCTCCTGTCATGCTCCATGTTGGAGCTGGGGTTTCATGGAAGCTGCCCATTGGTTTTGGAAGCTTCTTTTTTCAGCCTGCCATCTGCTCAGTCAAGCCTGGACTGGCTACGTGCGCGGCCCCAACGAGAACCCCATCTGCTTCTACGAAGGCGGGTCGGACAAATGTACCGGGCGATCAGAAGGGCTTTCACCATCTCAAGGCGATGTGCATTGTTCCTTTTGGTCCTTTGGTCTCCCTGTTTCAAGGGAGCTTGTCACTGGTAGGTAATTTGTTTTGGGTTGAGCCATAACGACTCTTCAGGTAAAACATGCGACTTTCCTTTGAACGACCATCCTTCTGTTTGATGCTTCATGCGTGCTTGTAGTGTTTCTTGGGTCCCTGTGGAATGAATGCACGGGTTGAATGCCTTCCCGACGTGGGTTTGCATGTCTGGTCGAAATACCAATTCAAGCAAGGCTCAGCAAAGGAAGTTTAGTTAGACAACTTCCGTAATATCCAACAGCGAAGGCAAGCCCTGTTCTGTGCACGGCCTCGCCACGGGGTCGGAAAGTTCCCCAAAAACCTGAGGTGCAGATTTCGTGGCATGCTCATCATTTTGTTCCCATGCAAGGTCAAGTACAGATTTCGTTTCAGGCACAACACTTTCGCAAGGTGAAATACAGATCTCGCGGCAGGCACAGCACTTTTGCAAGGTCAGGTGATAGATAGATAGATAGTTTAGATAGATAGATAGATAGATAGATAGATAAGAAAAGATAGATAGACAGATTAATCGGAAAGAGAGAGGTGAGAAAGACAGAGACGGAGGCGCAAATCGCGTGGCAGGCGCAGCAGTTTGGCAACCTGAGGTGCAGGTTTTGTGGCAGGCACAGTATTTTGTTCCCATGCAAGGTCAAGTACAGATTTTGTGGCAGGCGCAACACTTTCGCAAAGCAAGGTACAAAGCGCAAGGCAGGCGCAGCACTTTCGCAAGGTCAGGTGATAGATTGATAGGTAGATACGGGTAGATAGACAGATCAATGGAAAGAGAGAGAGAGAGAGAGAGAAGGAGACAAAGAGAGAGAGAAAGACAGGGACGGACGTGCAAATCGGCGGGCGCATCACTTTGGCAACCTGAGGTGCAGATTTCGTGGCCGGCGCAGCAAGTTGTTTCCACGCAAGGTCAAGTACAGATTTCGTGGCAGGCGCAACACTTTTGCAAGGGCAAGTGCAGATTTCGTGGCCGGCGCAGCACCTTCGCAAAGTCAGGTGAAAGGTTGTTGTTTCCATGCAGCGTCAGGTGCAGAGTTCGTGGCAGGCGCTACACTATTGCAAGGTGAAGTACAGATTTCGTGGCAGATGCGACACTTTCGCAAGGTCAGGTGAAAGATTCACAGGTACAAAACAGATCAAATGGAAAGCTACAGAGAGAGAGAGAGAGAGAAAGACAGAGAGATACAGAAAGAAAGAAAGAAAGGGAAAAGAGAAAGAAAGAAGCAAGGAATGAAGGAAACAGAAGAAGGAGAAAGACAGAGAGAGGGAGAGAGAGACAGAAGGGGGAAAGAATGAAAGAAAGAAAGAAAGAAAGAAAGAAAGAAATAAAGAAATAAAGAAGAAAAGAAAGAAAGAAAGAAAGAGGAAAGAAAGAGAGGGAGAGAAAGAGAGAGAGAGAGGAAGAGAAAGATAGAAAGAGAAAGGTAGAAATAAACAAAGAGAGAAAGAAAGAGAGAGAGAGAGAGAGAAAGAAAGAAAGAAAGAAAGAAAGAAAGAAAGAAAGAAAGAAAGAAACAAAGAAACAAAGAAACAAAGAAACAAAGAAACAAAGAAACAAAGAAACAAAGAAACAAAGAAACAAAGAAACAAAGAAACAAAGAAACAAAGAAACAAAGAAACAAAGAAACAAAGAAACAAAGAAACAGTAGACGAAACGAGCAGATAAGAGAAGATCAGAGAAGAGAAGAGAAGAGAAGAGAAGAGAAGAAACGAGAAGAGAAGCAAAGAGAAGGGAAGAGAAGCGAGGTAAGCCGTGGTTTTCTTAATGTGGTAGGGAGAAGACAGTGGTTGCGATCTGCGTGAGAGTTGCATGTACACGTGCGACCGCAGCTTTTTTGGAGTTTGAGCTAACACAAGGCTGCAATTCTCACACACACACACATCACGCACCCCTACACACACATGCGAGCGCGGGAAAGAAACGGAAAGGCTCACGAGATTTTGCAAGTAAAAGGTTTTCAGTTGGGGCATTCAGGACACTGAGTACCCCCCCCGGAAGGACTCACGAGGGTTTGGAAGGCTTGCAGTTGGGGCGTTCAAGACACCGAGGACTCTTCCCCTGGTGAGGAAACAATGTGGCTACCTACAGTAGACGCGAACTGCTGTGTGCAGATTTTGTGGCAGGCGCAGCGCTTTCGCAAGGTCAAGCGCAGAATTCGCAAGGAGAGGCAAGGATAGATAGATAGATAGATAGATAGAACACATTGAAAGAGAAAGAGAGAGAGAGAGCGAGAAAGAGAGAAAGAGAGAAAGAAGATAGAGAGAGAGAAAGCAAGGAAGGAAGGAAAGAAAGGAAAGAAAGAAAGGAAGGAACAGGAAAGGAAAGGAAAGGGAAGAAAAGAACGAAAGAAAGAAAGGAAGACGGAAAGAAAACCAGAAGGAAATAACAACAGAAAAGAAACAAAGAAAAGAAAGAAAGAAAAGAAAGAAGGAGCAACAGAAAAGAAAGAAATAAAGAAACAAATGAAGAAGAACAAAAGAAAGAAAGCAAAGGGCGCTCCACCTGCCAACCCGGCTGCGGCAGCCAACTCGACCAAAAAGGTTGCGCGGGCATGGGGCATGGATGTTTTGTTTCTCTTCCTATAGGCACATGTCCCTTCTAGAGACTTCCGCTCCTTCGCTCTGCTGGAGATACCTGGTGCTGATGTTGGTCAACGATTCGAGGGCCATGACCGACAGTACATATCGGTCTGTTGACATGATCGACTGTTGGAGCCTTTGCCAGTTCCGTTGGGACAGATCCTTGTATACAAGACACAGTCTTTCCGAGATCCAACGGCCGTAAGACGGCAACAATGGTAATGGTGGGTTATTATCACGCTTGGGCGTGTCTTGACATACGGACCCCCAAAACTTAAAACAACAGGTACCTTCGAACGGGACAGACCCATTTGCCCATTTGGTGGAGGTCCGTTGCATGTGTCGCCGATTTGCTGACTGCATGATTTGCAGGCCTGTGCCGGTAAACATGAGCAAAACAAACATTTACACAAGGTGGGTCTTTCACCACAATCCCCTCTCTCAGCATTTGTTCTAGCTGTATGTTTTTGGTTTTATTCATGTTTTGTAGGCGGCCGCAGAAAGAACATTTTGCTAACACACCAAGGCTTGGTTCAATCCAAGAGCATGGGGTCGGGGATGGGAACGTGAGGTGGCACGCACACTGCCGAGTGCAGCACCAACGCCGACCAAGAGAAGAACGTGATGTGCGAGACGAAGTTCGGCTGAACCGCTGAACCGAGCGGCTGATGTAATTGACTGAGGAAAAAGCACGCTGCGAATTGGTTGTACGGTAGCTCTTTCGAGCTACCCTATTGGACAAATGTATGGCCTACCAAAAAGTGGAAGTTTCAATTTGGTGGGCCCAAAAGAGGGTCAGAAGGTCCAACCTGGTTGGGAGTGGTCTGGGGCAAGGATGGTGGGTTTGGTGAAAAGAGAAGATGCAGCGAATTGGGTTTGCTCGCTGAATGAAAAGGTCCTCAGCCACAAACAAACTGGTGCTGAAAAGCAAGAAGCACAAGTTGCAGTTTGAGGACAACTGTTTTTGGCGGTTTAGGAGAGTCCTGAGTGAGTCAAGAATCCAGAATACTTTGGAGCTGGAAGTTTGGGAAACGCGTGGTTTCATTGGTTGAATCTCAGTATTGCAAGTGGGGCACACGGAAAGCCACACCGCTTGCTGTGATTTGTGGTTGATTTAGTAGAAATATTCAGGGAAGTGGAACAGCAGTTGACATTTCCACTGGTGCCAAAATTGGGTGAGCTCAAAACATTATATGACTGACGACTTTACGTGAAGTAGACAAGAGGAACCACACACATGTTTCATATGAACATGAATATGTATGTAGTCCATACTATATAGGCCCGTACCATACTCAGGCAGATGCTCAGGCCCATGCTCATTGGATACACTGATCTGCGTCCCCAAAAACAGGCGCACCCACGTGATCAGGAGCGCCACTCCACTCCTCATGGCCTCCCATAGACCCGCCATTCGACGAGATTGATCGAGCCTGGAGTCTGGCAGGCTCACGGCCCGAGTGGTGGAACCCAACCAGAGAAGATTGTATGGTGCAAGCCTCTTTTTTTGCTTCAACATTTCGGGTTACACTCGTTGTTGGCTACGTATTCAGCTTTGTTCTCGCTTCTGGCCCCATGACTGCTCCGTTTCGGGTTCGAGCCCAGCACGGTTTACTTGCGACATGGTGCCAGGCCGTGCTGCAGAGCTTGCGGCTTCCGCCTTGAGCTTAGGTCAGAGGTGCGCTTTTCACGTGGGTTGTGGTCAAGATTTGTTGCTTCCTTCGGTGAAGCGGCCAAAACTGAACGCCAACAATCGCCTATTCTTTATAGGGGTTCCACCTGATTTCCTGGTACCCTCAAATACTGCAGACCCAGGTGAGTTTGGTTGAACATCCTGGTGTTGTTTGCGGATTTCAGTTCAGAACTCTAGTCATGTGCCACCAATGTTTCCAAGACACACATGCCCCTGACTTGGAGGTCGTTTGATTCCTTGTCCATTCTTTGCAAGCACCCTTCTTTTCAAAGACCAGCAGTGTGCTTATTTTCCCTGCTGGTCATTTCAAAGACCAGCGGTTTGTTTTTCCCCATGTAGTTTTCTGTGGAATGAAGGATCTCTGGGTTCGGAATGGGAAGTGTCTCCCGGAATGAAGTGGATCTCGTTGGCGCAAGCCTTGGTAAGACAAATGCGGGTCCAATGGCATGCTTTCTTGCTGTGTGTTCGGGGCTGTGTTTGTTGCAGAATACTCTTTCAGGTTTGTTTCAAGGGGAACTGCGGGAAAGACCGCCGCTTTGGAGGTGCACCCATTTTGGACATCAGTTCTCAGCTTGAAATGGTCCACAAAGCTCCCCTTCCCCCATGCAGGCAATAAACATGTGTGGCAGAATGGGGGGATCAAATTGCCAATGGAGGCTGCTTCAACCATAATAATTCATTCATGCAGAGGCTTTAACCATAGGGTTCGTTCATGCAACGGGTTTTCACAGTGGCTCAGCCTTGCTCGGAGCCCAAACAAGCACAGTGGTTCAGTCGTCAAACAGTTGCAGTTTCACAGAGCTTGGCTTTTTGTGTTGTGGTGAGTTGCTTCAAAAGGCAGAAGGTTGGCGAATCACACCCCCGAATCATACCCCGAAGCATGCCCCCGAATCATACCCCTTCAAAGCGTATGCTGCAAGATGTCACTTTTCTTCGACCGTCTGTCTCCGCAGCAACCACACGCTAGCTCTTTCTAATACTGCTGCCACTGCGACCATTGCTGGTAGTACCACTACTACTACTACTACTACTACTACTACTACTACTACTACTACTACTACTACTACTACTACTATTACTATACTACTACTACTACTACCACTACTACTACTACTACTACCACCACCACCACCACCACTACTATTGCATTCATCATTCCGAGTTTGTAATCAGTTCCGTTTTGCAACTGGCCAAATCATACCCGCGAATCATGCCCGCATCATACCCGGACAATGAGCTTCCCTGGCCAAGGCTAGTGCCAATACTTTTACAAAGCTGCCGCACCACTACCGCCGCTGCTGCTTTCACTACTACTACTACTACTACTACTACTACTACTACTACTACTACTACTACTACTACTACTTCTACTTCTACTTCTACTTCTACTTCCACTTCCACTTCCACTTCCACTTCCACTTCCACTGCTACTCACTCCTACTACTATTACTATACTATTACTACTACTGCTGCTGCTGCTACTAGTACTAGTACTACCACTACTACTTGTGGTGTTACTGCTGCTGCTTCTGCTTACGCCGCTATTGCTGCTGCTACTGCGACTGCTACTGCGACTGCTACTGCTACTGCGACTGCTACTGTGACTGCTACTGCTACTGCTACTGCGACTGCTACTGTGACTGCTATGATTCGGGGGCATGATTCGCTGTAGCAGCAGTAGTAGCAGCAGTAGTAGCAGCAGTAGTAGCAGCAGTAGTAGCAGCAGTGGCAGTAGCAGTAGCAGTACCAGTAGCAATCGCAGCAGCAGTAGCAGTAGCAGTAGCACCAGCAGTTGCAGTGGCAGCAGTCGCAGTAGCAGTAGCAGTAGCAGTACCCCAGAATCATACCCGCGAATCATACCACCGTAAAAAAATACCAGCCCACAGGTTCAAACCAGGGATCGATGTCCCCCAACTCAAGAAAGTTGAGTCTTTCGCAGGTCTCATCCTATGGCGGACGTGACGACGCAGATCAACCATTTGGACGCCCAGAAGAAGCTGCTGATCGCGCTCCCCAACGCGCGGTGCCGAGAAAGCTGGCGGGCAAAATCCCCCATTGGAGGTCAAGAAGGTGTCATCGCCAGAGATTCGTAGTTCCCAGCCAGAACCTGGGACTTTTATACTTTTAGAGTTTCAACTTTTAGCAAGGAAACGAACCACTAAGACATAAACGGGCCGGTGTTCCCTGTTCGATGGTTGGATGCACACACAGAATGGGTGTTGGCGCAAGCCTGAGGATTGGTCAACACCTCTAGCGTGCAACTCCCATGTGTCCACAAACAAATGCAACGCCTTCGGAGCTCCATCTTGTCAGCGATCCTCAAGATCGACTTAAACTCAGGAGTTCCCCTGGCCCAAAGGGTCCACGTACCTGGACTTTGACCCCTTTCTGGCCCCAGTACATCCTAAGAGGGCACCAATGGATCCGTGGGACCTTCAACGTGTCAGGTCTGCGAGAAGAAGAACATGACCTTCAAGCAGACCTTGGAGCTGATCGCCCGGGCCTCTCTCTGGGCTATGCGGCAGGGTTTGAAGAACCAAACCAACCCCGCCAACCCTTTTGAATTGGAATTGGGGGGCTGACCCACAGAGTTTCATGATTTCAAGTTTCCTTTTGTTGTGAAGACAGGGAAAAATGCGGAACCCACCGCCCTCTCCTTGATTGGGCAGGGGTAATCAACCATGGGTCCCTGCCCTTGCTTGGTGACGAAGGCAAAAGCCCGGATCAGCTACTTTGCTCCCGAGAGATGGGGCCTCCCTAGGCGATACTTATGATTGTAACGTAGACTTAACAGGAAGCAGAACTACCCTGGGAGACAACATGAAGTACCCTGAGTTGGGCCAAGATCGCAACTTGCAAGATGGCCTGGCGGTATCTCACCGGTTGAAACATGACTGAGCCCCCTCCAAACTCAACATGAGATGTGTTGTCCACAGGGTGCTCCTGGGGCCAAGCGGTCTTCCAGTGTTTTTTCACGCGTAAAACGATTGAATCATAGCGGTGTGGGCCTTGTACACTTTCCACCCCAAGGGGTGAACCTAGGTTGAAAGTTTTGAGCTTTGGTCGACTCACATATCGAGCGCACGAACAAGGACCACAACACGTATGATGGGCTTCACGACACATTTCAAAGTAGCCTCATGTTGAAGCTTTAATGTTCTATATGGCGACGTCAACAAGCATGAGTGGGCAGGATATTGCCTATTGTTCTTGTAAAGGCATCTCGCATGTTTACATTAGTAAAGATACACAAATCGTAGGTTGACTAAATGGAGCAATGCATTCTTTAATTGACACATAGTCATTGGAGTTGGATCACATCGTCTCGTCCATGCTGAAGGCATCCTGGAGGCATGTTTGACATAACACGGGCCCATGTACCACAAGCGAATCTAGCCAGGGTAACCGTCTTTGACTCCCATGTCTTGTACAATTGTAGAACAGCGCGATCTATTTCTTGAGCCTGTGGATTGTCAAGCATGTTCCAAACGGGCAGTTGCTTGCCTAGAACACTTCCTTGGCCAAGAATTTCCCCCTTTGGTTCCCAAAAATGGTCAACCATGGTCGACCCAAACAGAATTGCTCAACAATGGGTTCCCACCAATCGTCCTGGGCCCGATTAGACGTGCTTTTAACTCGATTTCCACCGGGGTCACTTCTGGGAACAACGTTGCCGTCTATTCCGCTCAGCGAATCAAGGAGTCGGTGGGAACCTTTGGCGGGGACCAGCCGGAGCTGAAGGTCTTGGACTGGCCAAAGCCTCAGCCAGGCCAAGAATGGCCCTGCAGGTTGAGAGAGACAAGGGAAGGTGAACGACCAACCTGGGGCTTGTGGTTATCCTAGTTGGTCGGAATGAGGCAAAGATCGCAAAACCGCTGCCATCTTTGCAGGCATCTCTTTCGGGCAAGCTGGGGCCCTATCCTTCAAGGGTCATAAGAGAGGCACTTGTTTTGCACAGAAAGGGTGATCAGTTCCACAAGCCCACCGCTTTCGCGGGTGGACAAATGACATTGGCAGCTCTGAAAGCGGACTTGCGGAGTCGGGCAGCTGGAAATATGTTGAAGCAGATGTCACCAAGCCGCAAGGAACCGTTGAAATGAGGGGTTGAGGCTTGACCCGTGGCTTACATGTGTTTTGGCTGGGTGGCTTCCACTGCCTCTCAGGTGTGGGCATGGGTCAGATGTTTCAAGTACTGTGTAAATGTAGCTTAAAATGCAGAACAAATAGATCACCGGCTTTTTGGCCGGCTCCAAAGGGAATGGCACCGCGTTACAGGTGGGTTGCCGGTGCTTTGGACACCCGCCTTTCAGGCGTTCGTCAGATTGACTGAGGGAATCAAAAAGGGAAACCCAATGGGAACATAAAAACAAGCCAACCACTCAACGAGTATTTCCCGAATTTTGACGAACGCAGCCGGCCAGGGTTTAGGACAGGGGCAGCCCGGGGGGACCCGGGGGGACGCTTGGTTGCTTCATGGTGAATGTGGCCCCCTGGTTGTTGGCAGCGATCTTGCGATAGGCTAAGGATTTTGGGTATATCCCGACTCTCTGACATGCGGCGGATTTGCTGATCGATTGCTTTGGCTTCAACTCAAGCTTAGGTAGTTCAAGATGTGTAGTGGCTAATGTGTTTGTGTGTTTTTTATCTTTGCTTTTGTCACCATTGCCATGGGGTTGAGAGGGTCACGAGTCCTTAGTGTCAATGTTTCATGTTCAAACTTGTTCAAGACACATGCCGTGGTTCCAAGTCTTGTATTTCTGTGCCAAATCAAAAGGATCGGCGCTCGTTCAGAACTCCAAACGTCGGCCGTTCAGCTCAAGTATCTTCGACGCGGCTGCGTAGCGCAGCTTTTCCATCGCGTTTTCGGCGTGGAGAGCCATGGGGCTCTGCTCTTTCGTCTCGGGGCAAATGTCTTCCAAGGGCTGCCACTGACAGCTTCAAACCAATGCCTCACCCAAGGAGTTCAGAAGACTGTCCGGTTTTCTCGTATATGTGATTTGATGCCATGACCATCCAAGGTACATGCCCCAAAGATAGCAGTAGATCTGTCTTCTACTGCTCGGGTTACTCCTTCCAGCATGGGCTGAGTCACTAGGTTTGAAAAGGATGAGTTTGCCTCTCCTCAGATCATTCCCAGCACTCGCTGTTCAGCGCAACCTTCCACAGATCCGAAAGCTTCGGGCTTTGAAAAGACGTCGGCGGTTCGCCACCGCTTCTTTCGCAGATCTAAGTCTCAGGGTTTGCCTTCGGCGCCATGGCGACCGCCGAGCTGCCGCCCTTCCCGGAGTTCTTTGGCACCGCCCCCTTCAGGGAGGTCGAGCTGAGGCGTGCGCGAGCCACAGGTTCTTCGCCCTGAAGCTCCCCTTGCCTTGGGTACGAATAGTCAGCTTTCAAAGGGGCTCCGTTTTTCTAGCACTCACAACCTGGGAGGGAGTTATTGCAGCCCTACGCGACCATGAAGCCATTGAATTCATTGGCCATTGGTCCTTCGGGCGCTCGGCCATGAGCTTCCCCATGGCTCCTCTCTTTCCGAACGGAGCGAAGTGTGCCAAGCTCCCTCCAATAAAACTGCCGAGGTTTGAAGTGTTTTTCCTTTTGCCCTGGTTGTCCTTGGTTCTCCTTGGATCTCCTTGGTCTGAAGGCTCAGCAAGCACAAAGCCTTTGCAGGGACACGTTTTGGGTGAGTTGAGGCCATTCTATCCTCCTGGACTTTGAGCCAAATGTTGCGACTTTTTGCGGCCCATCTACGCAAGTAAGCGTACTTGCGCGGGTCCAAGACGAACTCCTGCGTCTGGTTTCCATAGTTGGTTCAACCCTCTCTTTTCACATTGAGGGGTCAACTACGTACCAACCTTTTGTTTTTCTTGGTTCAACGTTGTAAGCTTTTTGGTCGCTTTTCGGTTCAGCTGCACGCAAACCCCACGCGCCAGTCGCCGGTCGCCAGGGTGGAGCTTCCGGAGGCGCGCTATGCGCTGTGGCTGGGCCAGGACACGCGAGCCCGCGAGTGTAGGTCTCCTCCAGATATGCTAAATGTAGAATAGATATGAACCAGAATGTACAAGTGTTATGCTGGGATGCTAGCACTTAGCTTCCCTCAATTGGTGGTTTGGATGGGACATCTTGAGCAACAAGTTGAACTTTTTGCACTTGGGGCAATAGCCACGCAGGATCCACCAGGCCAAGACCACATGAAATCATTGTCTCGCAATTGTTATGTCCCTTTCCCCTTCCTTCGCTTGTCAGCGCTGGGATGACAAACCCGGTCCACCTGCCCCGCCTGTGGCTTTTTGTGCGTCAGAATAGGAGGCTTCCCTCCTTTCGGGTGTTTTAGGGGCGCCAAATAAACTTTTGGAAGCCTGATTTTTGTGACGTGCGTGTTCGTGTTCATGCACGGTGTTTCTGGCAGCCTGATTTTGGGAGTTGTCCAAATGAAGCGTTATGGAAGAGGGGCCTCGTTTTGTTGATTGGCTGATCTTAAGGGGAAGCCCACCAAGAAAGGGGAAACGGGAGCCAGCAAGTCAAAGGAAGGCCCCAGCAACTCTTGGAGAACGGTGTGTCGAACTGAGTTTGGCACTGAAACGAAAGTACCTCCTTGAAATAATGGCAAGGGACCCAATTTAGCTGATGGCACTCTGTAGGCAAGCAACAGAGGTCATATTAACCCCCGTTGTTTTCATGGTGGCTGGAGTTCCCACATCGTGACGGGAGGGCACCGCATGGAACCGCCTTGTTCTTCCTTTGCGAACATGGGACAATCCCTTTGTGTTCTTCAAGTATTGTAGGGGACAAGACAAAATCTGATACCCCAGGGTACTGGTTTTAGGGGTGATTAAAGGCCATCTTGGATCATGTGAGAAAGTGTCTATGGCAGAACAACAAGAGGTGGAGCGATGAGGGTGGCGTTGGGAGCATGGTGTCCCTGCACGCAAAGCAAGTCAACCAGCCACAAACCACGTTTTGTTGCGAATGGGCTTGTTTGTGCCATCCAACACCTGCGGGTGGTTCGCGGCGTAGTGGAAACCGTCGAATCGAGCCGGGGCTGTTTTTCGGGTGGAGCAAATTTCCGTGCTTTGTTGCACCCTCTCGAGTCCCAAGCTTTGTGTTTGCATTTGTGGGGTCCCAAGCTTCGGTTTGGAACCACAGACACTAGGCACGGGTTTCGGGAATGAGCCTGGGATCTCGAAGGATGGGATGGTTCAAGTTAGGGTTGAGCCGGGTGCTTGCAGAAACTAGCCTTGCAGTGCAGTACATAGGGGTAAGTAAGCATCTAACTGGCGATTGTAACTACTCGTTAAAGGAAGCGCTTTTGTAGGCCCTATTACGTATATATATATATATATACACACGCATATATATATATACAGATGTATATTTGTAGATTTACATGGATAAATTGCAATGCTAAATATGAGTTTTGCATGTAGCCAGGACCAGAAGGAGCACAAAGACCAGGTGATCGCGGGCCTGCAGCGGTTTTTGGGGCTCAATGAGCTCCCGTGCTCCGGCGAACTCTCGCTTTCGGTGTCGTTCACCGTCACCTTGCGGTTTTTCACGGGAAATGCGCTTTTAGGGTCAGTTTCTGTGAGACCAAAGGGAATCCTCCAAAATGACCAAGTTGCTACATGGTTGATCACAAAAGAAAGACCGCCTGTTTTGACATGTCATACTGGGGATCCCCCTCGTTTTGAACCACCTATATTTTCCTGGTGAAAGTACGCGGCACAATTTCCGAAGGTTGAGTTATCTCCTCCGACATGGGAATTGTGCCATGCACTTTGACCTTGGAGTACTAACATTCTTACCCCGTGATCATGACTGTCTGTATTGTATCCAGAGCCCTCCAAGCACCCTCCCTCCTATGTCGTGGAACTGGCCTACCGTCAGTCTCCAATCATTGGAAGATGAACATGGAAACCGGAGCACCCTCATTTGTGGAAGGGTTTGGGTTAAGTTATGATTAGATTCGGGAGATTCTGCTCACGAAGATCTCTTGCTTAAAATTCCCTTGAATATGGCCAATCGAAAAAGCATGTGATAAGTTTGATTGCGAGCGCAGTATCATGATCTTTGCAAACCTACTTGTTTCCGGTGTTTTCCGCTTTTGCCATTTAGTGTTTCACACAGCTAGCGATGTTATTTCACTTGTTTCAGCTTGGTTCGACTCATTCACCAGTGCCGTCTATCTGGCCAAAACGATGCCTAGGGTCGTACACGCACCTCCTTCAACTTCTTTTCCTGGCAGGGCTGGCTTGAACCTCGAGCCAAGGTTCGACGGGGAGGACAAAGGTTTCATAGTAAGGCCGACCCAGCCGATCCCTGCCAGGCCGGGGAAGTGGGGCGGTGACAAGGCACATTGTGTTTTATGTTTGTTTTGCTTTTTCCGGACTCCCCAGACTTAAATCAGAGGTAGGGAGTCAGAAAACAGGTTGCAGGGTTGGAAGAACAAGGTCCTCGCATCTGAGGCACGGTATGCTTTTCGGGGTTGTTTTCACCGGACACCAAAGAGAAGCCCCATGTTTGGTAGATGGTGGAAAATCGATCCTCGATCCCTCTACCGGATAGTGATTTCCCTGTATTAGGGAACCCCCATTTCGATCAACCCAGTCCACTGCATGGTTCCTCTCGGCTTCCCCCCAAACCAGGGTTGCGCCAAGCCCTTGTTCAAACATGTTCAAGCCCTGATTGCCCTTGTTGGAGGCTGACCCATTGGGTTGGAAGTGCACTTTCCCATGCACTTAGTGTTTATAATTTG